ACTTTTGAAATTATAGAAATTTAACAATGGCGCCATCTAATGGATAACTAGAAAAATAAGGCACACCGCCTTCCCCAGATCTTTTTCTTTTTTTTTTCTTTTTTTCCAGCTATAAACTGGTTTAGCAGGGTGCGATGGGAATTTAGCAAGACAAATGTCTCGAAACAAAAAATGAATAAAGGGTTGGAGTGTTTGTCTAGTATATCAAGAGGTCCTAGGTTCAAGCCCAGTCTCTGTTTCTCTGACACTCTCTGTCACTCTCTCTCATACACAGACACACACACACACACACACACACACACACACACACACACTGTGGCTCATCCTAAATTCTTCCTTCTCAGTTTTTTGACACACTTAGTTCACTTTTCAGGGTTTTGGTTTTCTTGGGATTTTTGTTTGTTATGATTATTTTATTGTATTTTAGACAGGGTCTCATATAACCCAGGGTGGTCTTAAACTTGACAGCTGACTAAAGTGAGCCTTGAACCCCTGATCCCTCTTCTCTATTTCTTGAACGCTAAGACACAGGGGATGTACCACTCTGCTAATTTTTTTTCTTGAATTCTTTGAGACAGGGTCTTGGGTAACTCAGGCTGGTTTCAAACTCACTATGCAACTGAAGATGGTCCATCTGCCCCTGCCTCTGCCTCCCGAGTGCTGGAATTAAAGACGTGCATGATCACCTCCTGGCAGCTTTTTTCTTTTTGAGAAAAGATGTATTTACTTTTATGTGTATTGGTTGTTTAGCCTGCATGCATGTCTGTGCATTGCATGCATGTAGTGCCTATGGAAACCAGAAGAGGGCAGCAGAGCTCCCAAAGCTGGAAATACAAGCAGTTGTGAGTCATCCTGCCTTCAGTCCACACACACACACTGAACTTGGGTCCTCTGGAAATAAATTGCTGAACCATCTCTCTAGCCCCCTATTTTAAGTTTTTGCTATATATTAAACTATATACTTATATTACTTACTGTCTGTTAAATATTTTCCATAACACTTCCACAGGGTAATTACAGACTTCTTAAAAATCGAATGAGGTTATCAGTATAGGCTTGTCACTCAGCGGAAAGGGCACCTCTGCATCTGACTATGTTTATGACTGTTCATTGTATCAGGAGGGCCACTGTCATGAGCTGTGAAACCTTGAAGTCAGCATGAGTTTTGGCTCCAAGGATGTGTCAGGTCCAAGGATGAACGGGTCCTTTTTAAAGAGGGACTTCACCCCAGATTTATCATGCCATCCTAGAACAGGCATCTGTCCTTTTCTGGGGCCAGCTGAAGCACTCTAGTGACATTTGTCAACAGCAGTATTTTCCTTGGTGTCATCTGTGGTCTCTGTGCGCCATCAAAGTCTGCTGTGGTCAGCAAACTTCCTGCTGGTTTCCAAAGTTACACATGCCCCCAAATGGCATCTTAACCACAGTGTCTCTGACCTGACACTTCCTTCTGCCCAGGCAAGACAGAAGTCACTCTGGAGGAAAGAGTCAAAGTTGAAATTCTACCAGGTGTGGTGACAACTCATTTAGCACTCAGGAAACACAGGTAGGTGGCTCTCTGTCAGTTCAAGGCCAGCCTTGTCTACATATCAGATTCCGAGTCAGCCATAGCTGCATAGCAAAATCCTGTCTCAAAACAAAACTAAGAACAACAACAAAACTAAGAACACAACAAAACCGGGCTGGGCAGACAGCTCCTCCAGAAGTTTGATCCCCAGCACCCAAATGACAGCTTACAACTGTCTGTAACTCCAGTCCCAGGGGATCCAATGTCTTCAGGCACAAGGCTCATACATTGCAGAATACCCCCACACACAAAATAATAAAAGATTAAAATTAAAAAGTAGGGCTGAAGAGATGGATCAGAGGTTAAGAACACTGACTACTTTTCCAGAGGTCCTGAGTTCAATTCCCAGCAACCACATGGTGGCTCACAACCATCTGTAATGAGATCTGGTGCCCTCTTCTGGCCTACAGGGATCATGCAGGCAGAATACTGTACATGTAATAAATACATCTTTTTTAAAAAAATTAAAAAGTAATGCTTTCAAACTTCCATCTCCCTTTAGACTAAACTTGAGAACCACCCCATGAAAAACAAACTCAAGCTCATGGGGCTCTCTACCCAGCCTTTTTTTTTTTTTTTTAATTTAAAGAATTGTCAATTGTCTGGTTTTGAGACAATATCTTGCTATGTAACCCAGGGTGACCAGGAGCTGGACGGGCCTTGAACTTCTGTCTTCCTGCCTCCTGGCCTAGCTGTCCCCACAGCTCCCTTTTCTTTTTGTCACACAGTCTCATGTACTCTAGGCTGGCCTCGAACCCAACATATAGCAGAGGCCTCTTGCCTCTGCCTCCTGATCTCTGTGATTACAGGTGTGTGCCACCAGGGCCAGCTCATATTCTCTTGCTTTAGTGACAGAAAACAATCATTAATTACAGCACAGGGTGAGCATCCCTATCCGAAAAATTTAGCAACCAAAATGCCCACAAAACCAAAACTTTCTCAGCAAATTTCTGCAAATGTAAAATGAGGGTGATAATACTCCAGGGGATTAAAGGACAGCAGGTAGGAAAAGCCTGTTGCCATAAGGACTAGCCAAGCCCAGAAATAATAGCTGCCACCGTGAGCCACTGTTAATGATAAACTGTCCTCAAGATTTGTGAGGCTGTAGGGTTCGGAGCCAAAATGCATTCCTGAGGGCAGAGACAATAAGTGGAAAGACTCCTCTGCCAGACACACTATGGCTTATAGGCTGAAGATGGAACATTACAGAAGAACTTTGGGTGACTGACCAGGCAGCGAGTTGTCTCTGTCATTTATAGAGTTTATATACTATCCTTCGGTGGTCTTTGAGGGAGTTGAAGACTGGTTGTTATGATTATAGTTTTCCTTAGTTAAGATTAAAGATAAGTTACATATAAGACTTTAGACTCACACATAGGATAGATGATGGAATATTTTCTTTAAATCTTACTAAATGTTAATGGACTAAATATTGTTAACTATAGTTCTTATTTGATAACTGTTTTGTTACATATTTTACCATGGTAAAGTTAAAACCCTTCTTTTTATTTAGACAGAAAAGAGATGATGGGAGATTTCATTCTGTAAATATGTTTCTCTTATTGGTTAATGGGTAAAGCCCTGTTGGCAAATGGGAAGGCAAGATAGGCGGGACTAGGAGACAAGGAGGATTCCTGAAGATGTAGGAGGAGAGTCAAAATATGGGGCTTGAAGGAAGAGGTCCGGACCATCTCTCCAGTAAGATAAGACCACGTGGAAACACTTAGATTGATAGAAATGGGTTAATATTTAAGACAGACCTAGCCAATAGAAACACTAGTAATAAGCCAACAGCTTTATATCCAATACAGTGTCTCTGTGTGTTATTTGAGGGCTAACACAGCCCTGGGACCAGGCTGGCGGGGGTGGGGGGGTTGGGGAGTGGGGGGGTGCACTGCTGGTAACACACAATATGAATATGTATTACTCTCATTGGTTAATAAAGAGCTGACTTGCTGATGGCTAGGCAGGATTTTCTGGGCCTAGGAATGCTGGGAAGAAGAAAGGCAGAGTCAGAAGAGACGCCATGAGAAGCAGAGCAAGCAGGATGGGAAGTATGTAGATGAAGTAAATGAGCCTTGGGCAGCACATAGATAAATAGAAATGGGTTAATTTAAGTTGTAAAAGCTAGCTTAAAACGAGCTTAAGCTATTGGCGAAGCATTTATAATTAACTTTAAGTCTCTGTGTGGTTATTTGGGAACAGCTACCGGGACAAAGTAAAGTACACCTACAGCTATTTCTGTTTCTTCCAAATATTCAAATATTCCTTACTTAATCTTAAGAAAGGAGGCACTGCTGTCTACGAGGCCATGTGTTACCCAGAGACAGGTAAAGGCCACAGGTGGATCTTTCCAGGAAGGGCTATTATTTGTAATTTATTTAAATTAATTAATTTGAATACTGAGAGGCATATTTTTTGTTTGTTTGGTTTTTCGAGACAGGGTTTCTCTGTGTAGCCCTGGCTGTCCTGGAACTCACTCTATAGACCAGGCTGGCCTTGAACTCACAAAGATCTATGTGTTTCTGCCTCATGAGTGGTGTGTGCCACCCACACCACCGACACCAATACCACAGCGGGGCTCAGCGCCTGCCACTCTTGGTGTTTTGCAAGAAGAAACTTTAAAAATAGCTGTGCTGGGTAAGAGCCATGGCTCATGGTGAGTGCCTGCTGCAATGCAGAGGACCTGAGTTCAGCTCCCAGTGCCCACATCAGGGGACTCCGCAACCACCTGTAACTTCAGTTCCTCGGGGATAGATGTTCTCTTGGGCCCCAAAGAACACCCACATGTACAGACAGTGTTGGAGCCTGTGGCTCACCTCATAGGCTAGGAACAGGGTGGAGTGTGTTGTTAACCCCACTGGTCAAGAATAAGCCCACTACCACAACTTTTGAGCCAAGTGTGACATTAGTCAGAGGCTTATGAAGGCAAAACGCAAATACTTCCCACCTTCGTCCAATCAGGGGCAAGCATACATCCTGGCATATTTCCTGCCTGGTACCTCCAGCTTAGGTGTGATCAACCACATCCGCGCAGTCGGGGCAACCAAGTTCATTTCCAGAAGTAAAAACAAGGGGCTTTTAATTTTCCATGAACAACCCCCAGCCCTCCAGTAAGTTATCTGTCCCTAAGCAAGTGGTGCCTACACGTTAGAGGCATTAGGAGCCCTGCAGCACAGTGGTTTAGACTTAAAACACGACTTTTAGCCATCCCAGTGCGAGGGGGGAGAGAGAGAGGAATAAAGAACTATCGTCACAAAACAGGTCCAAGTGAGGAAGTAGGGCTTTCTGTCAGAGCAGCTGCTGAGCACCTGTTCGGGTACCTCGAAGGCCAGTTAAACCCAGCAGTCGCGAGTCAAGTTGTGTAAACTTGTCTAAACCCTCTCACTTCCTTTGAGGCCGAGGCCTGGGGAAGAGGAATCTTAAGAAGCCACACCCCACTCTGCAGTAGCACTATCAGGATGGGTAACAGTGGCGGTTACCCATTCAATGGAACGAGGCACTGGCTGGGCAAACTGTTCCTCGGGGCTGTTTTTCTTTCTACCGCATGTAAGCCTGATTCAAAATTTTAAGAATTACCTCTCAGGCCCTGCGTGGTGGTGGCACACACCCTTAATTCCAACACTCCGGAGGCAGAGGCTGGAGGATCCCTGCGAGGGTGAGGCCAGCTTAGTCTACGGAGGGAGCTCCAGGACAGCCAGAGAGAGCTACATGATGAGAACCTGTCTCAAAAAAACAAAGGCGAAAACCAAACAAGACAAAAATCAGCTCTCTAAAACACCATGTGGAAAATGAGTTCTTGCTAATCTTACCTTTTTCTCTTTTAGTTCAGAACGCTGCAGTGGATTGTAAGAAGATGAACACAAATGGTAAGTTTCATTTCCTAAAGTGATGTTCACCAGAAAGAAAAGGAATAGCGAGGGGGAAGGGTAGCTGCCCTGGAGGGACAAAGGACAAAGGACAGCCTCTGGATCGAGAGGAGACAGACTTGACCCACAGGCAAATGGGTGGTTTACAAAGGGAGGGGGGACCTGTGTCAGGATGAGTTGGTGTGCTTGATTGGGTGTGCTAATTGGGGTAACCACAGGAGGCTTTTGATTAGTGGACTTCAAAGTTTTGATGGGAGGAAGTGACCACATAAGCCTTGGTGCTAGCTTTAGGAATGTAATCTAAAGGGTTAGCAAGGCAGAGGGATTACAGGTGTGTGCCACCACGCCCACTCAAACACACCCTAAATTCAAGCAACTAGTACTCTGCACAGGAGGAACTCCGCCACTGGCTCAGGGCATTTTGAGCTGAGCCTGGCATGCTTCGCCGGGGCACACACACTGATCGCTTTTGAGTTTGGTCTCTTTCGTCTGTGCTTACTCCTCTGCACGGCTTCCGACATATAACACTTCTTCAGTGCACGCTACCCACATGGGATTGACAGTGCTGTCTCGTAGTCCCAGCCTGTCTCCCCTCTCCTTCCAGAAGCATCCAGTGTCAGTAGTTGGATTGTTTGGTGGTTTTGTTTTGGTTTTGGTTTTTTTTTTTTTTTTTTTGCTTTGTTTTGTTTTCTTTTGCTTTTGTTGTTGTTGGCTTTTTGTTTGTTTGTTTGTTTTTTGAGACAGGGTTTCTCTGTGTAGCTCTGGCCGTCCTGGAACTGGCTCTGTAGATCAGTCTGGCCTCGAACTCACAGAGATCTGCCTGCCTCTGTCACCCAAGTGCTGGGATTAAAGGTGTGCGGCACCACTGCTTTTGTTTTTACGGAGTGTTTGTGATAGGATCTGGCTACATAGACTAGCATTCACTATGTAGCCCAGGCTATGTTGAACTCATAGGAATCCTTCTGTTTCAACCTCTTAAGTGCTGAGTGTGGCTGAGCACACAAAGGAGAAGCCTAGATGGATATGTTTATGTCTGTCTATGATGTCAGGATTTATTGAACAGCAATAAATTCACAAGCTATGTTGGCTGTAATTTTCCAGGTAGTCCTGATCTTCCTTGATAGCTGGCAGTTAAAAAAAAACACAGGTTCTTTTATTCCAATTTTAAATTTAACATCGACACTCTGGTCATACATTACACACCTTACAGTAAATATATACGTGGAGAGCCAGCAAGCAATAGTGGTGCACACGTTTAATGCCAGCACTCAGGAGGCAGAGGAGGGCAGATCTCCAAGTTTGAGGCCACCCTGGTCTACATAGCAAGTTCCAGGACAGCCAGGGTTACACAGAGAAACCCTGTCTCAAAAGAATGGTGTGTGTGTGTGTGTGTGTGTGTGTGTGTGTGTGTGTATGTATGTATGTATACAGGTTACAGACTGGCTACCAAAGCCACAGCAGACAGAGATCAAGGAATTCTAAGAGGCCTTACTGAAGGCAGTCTGGTATAGCCTGGTCTGGCCTAGATCTCACTACATAGCAGAGACTGACTGACCTTGCATTCTCTATCCTTCTGCCTCTGTCCCCCAAGTGCTGAATTTACAGCTGTGATTACAACTGGGAAAGACAGACCCAGTGGAGTCTGGGGGCATCCGGAAAAAGAGCAGAAAAGGACTTGTCATGGGAACTGGATTTGTGGGGAAGGTGTCAAGGCTTCAGGTCTGTCCCTGGCTTATGGGAAAGTAGTCCATGATAAGAAATGTTGGCAGCTCTTACCTGAAGCAATACAAAGGGAAGTGAAAGCCCTTGTTAAAGCCAAAAAAAAAAAAAAAAAAAAAAAAAAGGGTGTGCCAGAAGGACTCTTCATCTGGGGGAAGGCAAACAGAACCACAATATGGAACATGGTTTGCAAACCAGGTGGCCTCTGGCACACCTGAAGAACAAAGAAATGTGACATTTTGTTTATGAGCTAACAAATAAAGCTCGACTGAAGATCAGAGTACAAAGCTAGCCACACTAGTTAGCCACAGAGGCCAGGCAGTGGTGGTACACACCTTTAATCCCAGCACTCGGGAGACAGACACAGAGAGATCTCTGTTAGTTCAAGGCCAGCCTGGGCTACATGAGATTGAATCTGTCTAAAAGAGAAACAGAGCTCACACAAAGCTGATTCCCAGTACTTGGGATCCCACACCTTTAATCCCAGCACTAGGGGGACAGAGACAGTTGTCACTCCTGGCTGTTGCGGAGAGAGGAATATAAGGCAGGAGGAGCCCATGCAGTCTGAGGACAGACAAACCCCTTTGGTCTGAGCATTGGTAGATGTGAGAACTCATTAGTGGCTGGGCTTTGCTTCTCTGATCTTCATCATTAACCCCATTATCTGACCCTGGGTTTTTTATTATTAAGACCAAGTAGAATTCCTGCTACAAAGAAAAGATTGGGGTTGACTGGGGAAACTAATTTGTCCTAAGGTGTTTGTTTCTGTTTTGAGAAGGAGAGCAGGGTTTGTTACTTCTCTCACCCCTGTGACTAAACAAGACAAGAAGCAACCGAAGGGAAGAAGGTCCAACCTGGGCTCACAGCCAAGGGGATATACCACCTGTGACGGCTGGGAAGTCACGATGGCAGGGGCCTGAGCTTCCACCGTTAGGAAGCAGAGAGAAATGGATGCTCAGCTCCCTGTCCTTGGCTTCTTTTTATTCAGTCTAGGGACTCAGACCTTTGATGGGTCACCCATTCGGAGTGGGTCTTCCCACCCCAATTAATGTAACATAGAAACTTCCTCACAGGCATCCCAAAGGCAGTCTCCTGTGACCCTAGAGCCTGTCAACTTGTCATTATTAACCATCACACGGATCTCCTGGAAACCAGCCTGCCTTTGAACTCCCTGTATGGCTAAGGATGGTCCTTCTTGCTTCCATCCTCCACGAGCTGGAATTTGCATGCCTGATTTATGTTGTGCCGGGGTGGAACTCAGGCCTTGGTGCATGTTAGGCAAGCACTCCACCACCCAGAACTACAGCCCTAGCCCTGTCCAGCGGATTTAATGAAGACTGCTGTATCATTCTTTTGTTTTTCCAGAATTACCTTCTCCAGATTTGAACTCAAGTGTGAATTCGGTCAGGATGGGCCAAAATGTATCTCTGTCTTGTTCCAGCAAGAACTCATCAATGAATATCACCTATTCGCTATTTTTGGGTAAGAAACACCTACAAACCAAGAAAACAAGAGCGGAAGCTGTGACTTTTTACCTGAAGATCTCCAACACCAATGAAACAGGCCCCTACAAATGCAAAACCAACGTTTCCAACTTGCAGAAATATAGTCCGGAGCTCAACTTCACAATCAGCGGTAAGTGCCTCTCGCCATACAGAGGGGGTTAGAGTTGGGGGACTGAAGGGACTCTCTGATGCTATGAAGAGCTCTTGACAGTTGAAGACACTCAAGAATGGGGGAAGGAAGGGACAGGACACATGGCTCATCAGTTTAGAGCAGTTGCTGCAGGTTTTTTTTTTTTTTTTTTTTTTTTCTTACTCTTGCTTGGTCCTCAGTCTAAAGGATGGTGCTCCCACATTGGAGAGGGTCTTCCCCACTTAGCTAATCCTCTGTGGAAGTGCTTCACTGATCTCCTAGTCCCTCCCTCATCTAACCAAGATTAGCCAGCTCACCAATCTCCTGCTTTGAAGCCCCGGAGCCAGCACCCTTCCCGCCCAGCCACACCTATGCATTGCATTTTTCTCTCCCTTGCCTTCCCGTGCCATGCTTCCCTCAGCCCCATCTGTGGTGACCTTGACAATGAGTCCCTAGGAGAGTGAGAGAAGGAACCTAAACATTATACCTGCAGTCTGGTCAGAACTCATAAGGGACCACTGGTTCTCCAGGTCTGTCAGCATGGGAGCCACAAGCCACATGTATTCACACAAAATTAAATTCAAACTAATCAAAACGACAGTAAAACATTCCAGGGCTGGCAAGGTAGCTCAGTGGGGTAAAGGTGCTTGCTATACAAGTCTGACTTTGATCCCTGGAAGTCACAGAGCGAGTTCTAGACTAGGCAGGGTTACGCGGTGAGACCTTGTCATAGAATAAATAAAATAAAAACCCTCAGTGCCATAGTCTAGTCACATTTTAAGCATTCAAGAGTCACAGGTACTAGTGACTAGTCCACCTTTACAGAAAGCTTTGTTAGACGGGAATGCAGGCCACTGGCTCTAAATTAGAGGGTACAAATGTCCTAATCTAATCTAATCTGGCAGGGCATACTTTCCTCAGGGGCCATCACTTGTTTTGTTGCTATGACAAAACATCTGGCAAAAACATTCTAAAGAAGGGTTTGTTTGGGTTCAAAGTTCCCAGTGACACAGTCGTGACAGGGACAGTTACAGTAGCAGCAGCAGAAGGTGGCAGATTACATTTCACCCACATACAGGAAGTGTCTGTGTGTGTGTGAATCCTGTGCTCAGTTTTCTTTCTCTTATTTTGAAAATTTAGTGATTATTAATTAACTTTTTTTTTTTTTAAGACAATCCCATCATGTACCCTTGGCTAGCCTGGAACTCACTATGTCTACCAGACTGGCTTAGACTCACAGAGATCCATCTACTTGCCTCTGCCTCCCAAGTGCTGGGGTTAAAGGCATGTGCTACCAGGCTACTTTCTCTTTCTGGGATTTTCCCCATGGGATGATACCACCCACACTTAGGGTGGATCTATCCATCTCAATTAACCTCGTCTATATAATCCATCATGACTTGCCCAGAAATTAATTCATAGCAGATTCTAGACCTGAATAAGTTGACGGCACTATTGGCCAGCACAGCTAAAGGTATGGGTTTTTACAGGAGTATCATGCTATGGGCTCCAGGTAGGACAGTAGTCTGAACATAAACTAAGTGGTCATTGTGACTGTCACAGGATTGAGCGGGAGGAGACACACGGAGATGGAATGTGGTACCCTGTGGCTCCCCAGAGCCCCCTACCCTACATGGTAAGGCTGCATGTGGCCTTCCAGCAGTTTATTCAAGTGACACTCTGTCCCAGCAAACTGTTTGATGAATTACAAAACACAATCGTCCTCAATGAAGTCTCACAGATACATACGTCTCTACTGACTGCACACTTGGTGCAGGCTGTTGTTTGTTTCAAGCTGTGTCCTTCCAGGACATCAGTGATACCTATGACATGCTTATGTCCCTAGAGCCTTAAGCACCGGGTTCCTTGGTCAGGGATTCCCTTATGGAGAACCTGGATGCACCACACCCTGATTTATGTTGCTTGGTTTCTGCCCTCATGGAAACTCTGCTCTAGGGGGAAGACAGAAAACCCAGACAAATGGCTCACAAGTTGCGCCGGCTCTTGTAAAGGAAACGGGCAGTGTGGAGAAAGGTTAAGGCCTGGAGAAGGGCCCGCCTAGGTGAGGTAGGAGGGCCTGTCCAGGGGGCTGGAAGAATGAGAAGAAGAAGCTAGTTATGTGGGGAGACGGGAAAAGAGGGCTCTGGTCTAAGTCCTCGGTGTGCTCAGAGCCTCAGAGCGCTCGCTTGGGGTGGGAACTCAGCTGGATCAGGACAGTTGAAGGTCAGGGAAGTGTGTGAGCCCAGGGGAAGCTTCAGACACAAGGCTCAAGTTTGGAGGAGCCTGGAGTAGTGGGAGATGGGGGCCCAGCTCTGCGGCTAGTTTGCTCTTTGCCTGTGACCTTGGCCATTTCCTTCTTTCTTTGGAAGCAGACTCTCCTGTAGCCTACGTGGCTTTGCACTCACTTATGTAGGTAACCAAGGGTGACTCTTACGAAAGTTCCAGGACAGCTAAGACTACATAGAGAATCCCGGTCTCATAAAGCAAAAATAAATAAATAAATAAACAAAACTAAAGAAATCTATAAAAAAAAAAAAAAACCAAACTGTAGAAAAAGAGTCGGAGCCGGGCAGTGGTGGCGCATGCCTTTAATCCCAGCATTCAGGAGGCAGAGGCAGGTGGATCTCTGTGAGTTTGAGGCCAGCCTGGTCTATAGAGCGAGTTCCAAGACAGACTGCAAAGCTACAGAGAACTACAGAGAAACCCTGTCTGGAAAAACTAAAAAAGAAAAAGAGTCAGATTTGACAGTGATCAGAGAGCCCTGTAGTTCCTCTTTTTCGTTTCTCTTGAATCAATTTAGCAGGGCTTCTGTTTTTTGGAGGAAGTAAAAGTATGGCACAACTGAATTCTATATGGAATGGAAACACAGAGAAAAACGATACTTTTGGTTTAAAACAGAGCCAGCCCTCCACCTTATACTTGGAACTGGACCGTTACTGACAGACTCAAACTCAGTGAGCAGAGGTGCTTGCTTTGCTACCAAGTCTGACAATTTAAGTTTGGCCCCTGCACTACATGGTAGAAAGAACCAACTCCCCTAAGTTGCCTTTTGGCTTGTACATGCACACTACACAAACTCTTTGATTATAGTCATCCTTAATGAGTAAGCTGGCTCATGCCTTTTATCCCAGCACTCAGGAAAAAGAGGTAGGTGAATCAGAGTTCAAGGCCAGCCTGGTCTACAAGAGTGAGTTCCAGGACAGCCAGGGCCACATAGAGAAGCCCTGTCTTGAACCGCCCCCCCCCACAAAAAAAATAGAATAAATAAATATCCAGGTGTGTTGCACACACCTGTAATCCCAGCATGCGGGAATTGGAAGCAGGAGAATCAGGAATTCAAAGCTAGCCTCAGCTACATAGCAAGTTCAAGAGAAGAAATAATAGACCATGAAGTCTGCACATCAGTTCCCTGAAGCCAAGAGGTGGCCTTGCTCCCTGCTCCAATTCCCAGCACCTGGCTTGTGTCACACTGTACACGGTTAGTCAGGTTAGCTATTATATGGCCCCCAGCTGTGTGTGCGGCCCCTCAGCTGGCCATTCGCCTTGAGGCTGGTGAGCTGGAGTAAGGGGTTGGTCTGTGTACCAGAGTACTCAGTATGGTTGGTACCCACTTCCATCCTTCTAGATCTGGCAACTGCCCTACTCAATCAGTTGGAAACTGGTCTAAACTGATTTTATTTAGTTTATTATGTGTGTGCTCCCTTATGCATGTGGCCTTAAGTGAATGTCCGAGGCCAGCTTTGACTGTCCTCTGCTTCCATAATGTGGGTCTCAGAGCTTGAACTCAGGTCAAGGGGCTTGCGTCACCGCGCCTTACCTGCTGAGCCATCTTGCCAGCCCCAGACCAATCAATCTGCATCTCCACGATGCATGTTGCCTCTCAGGCTAGCTCACCTTGATATGTTCTTTCCCTGAGTTCCTTCAGCAGACTCTGCATTTCTAGAAACTGCAGCTGCTTCTGCCCTGATCCACCTCCTGTTTGGGCCTCTTGTTTCCAAATGTAGAGTCCCTGGTAGCGTCACACACTAGACGAAATTGCTTCCCACATCAAGGGCAGAAATGGGTATGATGGTGAGACCCGACCCCGCCCTATTCCTAGTGTTCCTAGCCATGCCTTCCTCTTCTGAGGTCCGAGTAGCCCATGCAGCATAGTTACACCCATATTAGACTGTGTCTCCTTGGAGATGCTGGGTCTTTAGTACTTCTCACCCTCTTCACTGTTTCAGTTTTGGGGACAGGAAATCCCTGTACAGCCCATGAAACTCATGATTCTACTTCAGCCTCCCGATTACAAATATATCCTACCTCACTTAGCTTTTTTTCTTTCTTTCCCCATGATTAGGTCTGGAGCCTGGCTGGCCTTGAAATTCTGATAATCCTCCTGCCTCTCAGCCTGTTGAGGGCTGGGATTACATTGTTTTGTGTGTGTGTGTGTGTGTGTGTGTGTGTGTGTGTGTGGTGTATGTATGAGTGTGGGGTGTGTGTGTGTATGGTGTGTATGTGTGTGGTATCTATGTGTGTGGTGTATGTGTGTGTGTGTTTGTGGTATGTGTGTGTATATGGTGTCTATGTGTGTGGTGTGTGTATATATGGTATCTATGTGTGTGGTGTGTATATGTGTGTGTGTAGTATCTATGTGTATGGTGTATATATGTGTGGTGTGTGTGGGTGTTTGTGGTATGTGTGTGTGGTGTATGTGTGTGTTTGTCTGTGGTTTGTGTGATGTGTGTGTGTGTGTGTGTGTGTTGAGTGTGCACATGTGTATACAGATACTTAGGAGACCAGAGGTCTGTGTGGCATGCCATCCTGATTGCTGTCCACTACGTTTTGAGACAGGGTCTCTCACCAAACTGGAGCTCACTGGTTTGGTTAGAAAGGCTGGCCAGTGAGCTCTAGAGAGCATTGCAGAGCAGCCCAGAACTTCAGGGTTGGATCTGTGCTGCTCTGTGGTGCCATGGGGTGGGGGGCAGGACCAAGGTTATAACTTTAAGAACTCCATGGCCCAACAAGGGAACTCTCACGGGGCACACGGTGATGGTTAACTCAGGAGACAGCCATGATGGCCTTTCCTAGAGCACTTACTAGGCCAGTGTCATTGCCAGTGGTGACCTATGAACACTATTTTCTTACAGAAGAAGATAGCTGTCCTTCATGTCTGCTGTCACAGTTACTCCCAGGGGTGTTACTGGGGCTACTGGCAATAATCCTAGTTCTGGTTTTTTTGATTCAACCAAAATACAAAAAAGGTAAGTTCTCCCTGTGAGGTTCAGACTCAGCAGGGAGGGATGGGACAAGAGTCAGAAATGAAGCTGGGGGGAGGTGGGGGGTGGGAAGGAGAGACTGGAGAGATGGCTCAGCAGTTAGAAGCACTCAATCCCAGCACCTGAGTTCAGGGAATCTGATGCCCTCTTCTGACCTTGGTGGGCACCAGGCACATACCAAGTGTATATACATACATATACACTTATGGCATGGGGAGAAGAGGAAGAGGGTTCGATCCCTGGAACCACACAATGGAAGGGAAACTAACCCCTGTGAGCTGCCCTCTGGCTTCCACACACTCACACAAAACTAAATGTCATTAAAAAACAAAAAAACTAAAAAGAGAGAGAAGCCAGGTGGTGGTCAGGCACACCTTTAATCCCAGCACTTGGGAGGCAGGGGCAGGCAGAGCTGGGATTTGAGGCCAGCCTGATCTACCGTGTGAGGTCCAGGACAGCCAGGGCTACAGACAGACCCTGTCTTGAGAAAACAAACAAAAATAAGAGTTGAGAAATGATGAGGTGCAGACAGACCTCATGAGGCTCAGAGGCACACGCCCTTCAAGCCCTCAGTGAGGCCCTTCTGATGGAGGTTGTCTGGAGAGCCAGCCTCACCTGGACACAACTTACACACAGCCCTCACCTGGACATGACTCACACAGCTCTACGTGTCCAATTTCCAAGCCGGAATTAGAATTAATAACATTTATACTTTAATTTTGTGATTGGCTCTTGCTATGTATACCTGGTTGGCTTTGAACTCACAATGATACTCCTGTCTTAGTTTGGGAATGCTGGGCTTACAGTGTGTTCCACCACTCCTGACTTATAATTTTTTTTTTTTTTTTTTTTTGAGGCTGGGTCTCTTGTAGACCAGGATGGCCTCAAACTCACTGTGACTTCTTTTTTTTTTTTTTTTTTTTTTTTTTTTTTTAAGGAATTTTAAATTCATTTATTTTATGTACATTGCTGTTTTGCCATTGATGTCAGGTCCCCTGGAACTGGAGTTAGAGACAATTACATGTGAGCTGCCATGTGGGTGCTGGGAATTGAACCCAGGTCTTCTGAAAGAGCAGTCAGTGCTCTTAACCACTGAGCCATCTCTCCAGCCCTCACCATGACTTCTGATCCAGTGCTGGGATTACAAGCACATGTCCCTCCATGCACTTCCTTTGACAGTAGGGATGGTACCCAGGACTTCATGTGTCCCAGGCAAGCAATCCCCCAACAGAGCCGCATCCCAGCCTGTCTTTATAAAATTATGCTAAAAATATACACACAATGAAGTTTGCAACTTTATCCCCCCCCCCTTTTTAATAACGGTATGTCATTTGCTAAACCAGAGCTCTACATGGAATCACACCCTTGGCTCTGTTGTGAGACCACACCTTTGTCCGCCTCCCAGGCTGCAACCCACTGCCCTGAGATAATTCCTCGTCCTGTTTCCCTGCCCGGCAGCCACCAGTCTATGTTGTCTCTACAGCTCCAGCTATTCTAGGCTCCATTCCAGTGGAATCCCGCAGCAGTTGGGTCTTTGTTTTATTTTGTGACAGAGTCACCTGCATCCCAGGCTGGTCTCAAACTCACCATGTAGTTGAGGGTAGCCTTGAACTTCTGGGCCCCTCGAGTGGCTGCATTGCAGGTGCGCAGAATGAACTCAGGGCTTCCTGCTTGCTAGCTGAGGGCTCTACCAACTGTGGCACGTCCCCAGGGGCCGTCCTATGGTCTTGGCTTCCTGTGCATGTCAGAAAGTCTTTCGTTTGTTTTTTAGGCTGAGGAGCAGTGATCTGTATGCATATCTAATATCATTTCCCCACCCTTCCGCCCATGCTTGAGTGTGCATCTTCTATAAAGTGCATGGCTGTGCATGGATGGATATCGTTGTTTATAGCAAGAGGCTCCTGAAGCTCACTGTGTATCATATAGTTGGTCCAGAGCAGACACCCATCACAGGGTGGAGCCTTTCCTTTCTCAGCGACCTTCAGGAAGCTCGGCATGTGAAATTGGATGGGAATCGGTCCTCTCTTGCCACTTGATGCACAATTGCAGTAAGAAACCCTTTACCATCCAGCTAGAAGCCTTCCCTGATTTACCTCTAAGGCCTTCTCTGGTAAAGATTTCAAAGTGGCCTTTTCACTGGGCACATGTGTGGAGAAATATCTAGATTTGCATAAAACAGCATTTGTAGCCTGGCGGTGGTGGCACACGCCTTTAATCTCAGCACTAGAGAGGCAGAGGCAGGTAGATCTCTGTGAGTTTGAGGCCATCCTGGTCTACAGAATGAATTCCAGGATAGCTATGACTATTTCACAGAGAAACCCTGTCTCAAAGAAAACAGGAAGGAAGAAAGAAAGAAAGAAAGAAAGAAAAGAAAGTTGTGCACACCATTAATCCCAGCACTCAGGAGGCAGAGGCAGGCAGATATCTTGAGTTCAAGGCCTGATTGGTCTACATAGCAGGTTCCAGGACAGCCAGGGCTACACAGAAAAACCCTGTCTCAAAAAAGAAAAAAAAATTTTTTTTAAATTTCTGCTGATATAGAACTTAATTGCATCGCTCATCTCTTGAAGATGACTCAAGGCTTCCTACTAAATGTGTCTATTTCCAATACAATATATAGGCTAAGACCTCACAGGGCTTGGTCAGGGGGCCCCTGGGTCAGAGGAATGGGTGTTGTTACGAACCTATGATTGTTTCCCTCATTACTTGAGGCCAGCACTGAGGCATGTCACTTAGAATCAGGGAAGATTCTGCCCCTTGGCAGAGAAGACAAGATAAACATGTCTAAATTGGTTCAATGTGATGACTCTGTGACTTTTTTTTACTTGGCAGGAAAAGCTCAGAGAGAGGAGTCCAAGGGTTCTGGAGTTGCACCCACGCAAGGCGAGCTGTATGCAAACATCTGTGAAACTCAAACAGGTCAGGGGCCTGGCTGGCTGTTTTGATGAGTTTGGTTGGTTGGTTTGGGGGTGACTATATGCATATGTACATATACATATGCATATACACATACATATACATTGTTCTGGAACTTGAACCCAAGGTGTCACACATGCTAAACAAGTACTCTACACATGCTGGTTATTTAAAAAATTACTCTTTTAAAGATTCTCCAGTTAAAAAAAAATTTAAAAAAAAATTAAAAGAAAAAAAGATTCTCCAGAGACATGGGTGAAGACAGAGTTTCTGTCCTGCCGGGTTCCATAGCTATTCAGTTCCAAATAAACACAGAGGCTTCTAGTAATTATAAACTATTTGGCCAATGGCTCAGGCTTCCTATTGGATAGCTCTCTCCTAATTACTAACCCATTTCTATTAAACTATGTATTGCCAGGTTGTGGCTTACCCGTAATGCTCTGGCATGTTACTCTATTGGCAGCTACATGGTATCTGCCTAATCTGCTAGCCCTGCCTATACTTCCTGCCTGGCTACTGGTCAATCAGCTTTTACTCATCAGTCAATAAGAGAAACACATATTCATAGCATACAGAAGGACATCCCCCATTACATGGGTTTAAAAGGGAAAAAAGGAAGCAACATCACAGAGTATCCTATCTCCTTCCCACCTCTGCCTTCCATCTCCCATTTTATTCTCCAGATGCAACATGTCACCAATTGGCCATTTTAGCCTTTACATATTTTCAAGACGACTTTATATTAACTTGGGATGAAGCATGTTGTACCGCAAAGTCTTTCATGGTCATATTTTTTTGTTCATTTTTTCAAGACAGGGTTTCTCCATGTAGCTCTGGCTTTCCTGGCACTCTCTGTGTAGACCAGGCTGGCCTCAAACTCACAGAGATCACCTGCCTCTGCCTCCAGAGTGCTGGGATTAAAGGTGTATGCCACCACTGCCCAATGGTGGCTTGTTTGTCTGCTTGTTTGTTTTTTGCAATGCTTGGGATCAAACCCAGGGCTCCACACATGCCAGCCAAATGCTAGTGTGAGTGAGAAAACACAAAACTGCTCCCTTAGCAGTTTTCAAGATTGTGGCGTTTAATGATTAGCTAGAGTCACCATACCATACAATATTTAGTCACTTATGAAATCAGACATTGCATATTGGATGCTTCATGGTAGAAGGGCCTAACTAAGGGGCTCTGTCCCAGCCAGCTCAACAGAGCCCCAGCCACGCTCTGAGTACTGTGCCAGTCCTGACACACCAGCTTCCGATTTCTGCCATTCCCTTCTTGCCAAACAGGAGCCTAGATCAGAACTGGATTGATAGCAACACATTTCCACACCCCCCAAAGGGAAAGAAAGCGTTCTCTCTAGACCCCAGGCCGCCACCCATCACATGGTCAGAGGATCCAAGAATTGGCCCAGTAACACAATGAATTGTTTTGTTCCCCCCCCAGAGGCCAGACCACCCCAGGAGCTACACTATGCCACTCCAGTCTTCAAGGAAGTGGCACCCAGGGGACAAGGTGAGTCATGATGGGGACAAGAGATGCTGTTGGGATGAGACAAGAGTCCCTGTGACATCATTGTGAGCAGGGGCTGTGTCAGGATGGGGACCCCAGGTTCTTAGCAAGTCAGCAGTAACCAAGCCACAGCTCCCACAGGTACATCAGGTGGAGAGGAGGGAGGAGGAGACAAGGTAGGGACCACCCTCTCAATACACCCAAGACAGGCGGAGAGGTGGCTTGGCATTTACAAGCATGTACTGTGCTTCCAGAGGACCTGTGTCCACTTCCCACACTCAGTGTCAGGCAGCTCACAACCCCTGTAACTTCAGCACCTGGCCTCCAAGGGCACCTGTGCCCACTTACACATATACCTCTCACACACACAAAATTAAAATAAGAATGAAAAAAAACATCAAAAAACCCCCAAGAAGAGGATTTATGGTCAGTTCTAAAACATTTTCCAGGAGAAATGGGGGGGGGGAGACAGGGCAGATGGCTCTCCCGCTGAGAGCACTTGTCTACCTCACATGAGGACCTGAGTTTGGATCCCAAGCTCTGGTGCAAAAAGCTGGGCACAGCCACGTCTGGGCCTGTGACCCCAGGGCTGAGATGAGGGGACTGCTGGGACTCCTTGGAAGTCTGAGGATAACTTGGAGTCAGCTCTCCCTGTCCTCCCTGAGGGACCCTGGGATAGAACTAAGGTCATCAAGCTGGGTGGCAGTTGCTGATACCCACTGAGCCCATACCGCTGAAATGGGATTCCATTTAGACTTTGTCTGCACTCTAGCTTGAGGTTACTGAGTTACTTTCCCTTTTCAATTTCAGAGAGTTGTGTGGGTAATAACCCTGATTACATCTATTCTGAACTGGAGAACTGAAGTGTGAAAAACTGATTGAATTCAGTGTAAAAGACTCTAGTGTGTGGAGAGACGGCAAATTCACCAGGCACTTCAAAGTCTCACCCTAGGTTGGAGCAGGAGAATCCTGAATTCAAGGCTGGCTGGGACTACAAAGCAAGACCTGGTCTTAAAACACAAAACCCATTGCCAGGTGGTGGTGGCACACACCTTTAATCCCAGCACTGGAGAGGCAGAGGCAAGCAGATCTCTGTGAATCTGAGACCAGCATGGTCTACAAGAGCTTGTTCCAGGAAGCATCCAAAGCCACAGAGAGACCCTGTCTCAAAAAACCAAAAAGAAAGAAAAAAAAAAAAAAACCCAGAAAACTGAAAATGTTTAACCTGGTCGCCTAAAGTGAATTCATATTTTTGACATCTGAACACTATTCCTTTGGCTAATTTGGGCATTTCGTCTTGTCTTCAAAGTAGCTGGGCTTGATAATACTTAGAAAGTATTTGGTTTTGTGGGCATCCATCTTTTTCATTTCCCAATGTCGTTTACAAAGGAATTATTGATGGCAGATGTCATTCTATAAATATGTTTCTCTTATTAGTTAATGAATAAAGCACTGTTGGCCAATAGGAAAGGAAGATAGGCGGGACTAGGAGATGAGGAGAACGAAGACAGAAGAATGCCAGCCTCTTTCTCCAGTAAGATGAGACCACGTGGAAATACTTAGATTAACAGAAATGGGTTAATATTTAAGACAGAGCTAGCTGATAAGAAACTAGTAACAGTCCAACAGAATTATATCAAATATAGCATCTCTGTGTGTTATTTGGGGCTGGTGCGGTGGTGGGACCAGACTGACAGGGAAAAACATACTCATAACAAATTATCTTGGGGCTGAAGAGATAGCTTTGCAGTTAAGAGTACATACTGCTCCTTCAAGGGACAGGAGTTTGATTCCAGTATCCACATCCCACAACTCAGGTGACAATAAGTTTGTTTCCAGTGGATACACTGTCCTTTTCTGGCATCCATAGGCACAGACACGCCCATGTGCACAGATAGGCCCAAACACTTCATTAAAAATAAATAAGGCCAAGCCGAGTGGTGGTAGCACACGCCTTTAACCCCAGCACTTGGGAGGCAGAAGCAGGTGGATCTCCAAGTTTGAGGCCAGCCTGGTCAGTCAGGACAGCCAGGATCCTTATGCAGAGAAACCCTGTCTCCAAAAAAAAAAAAAAAAAAAAAAAAGACACACAGCCATACTGACATACCACCTGGAAAATGCACAACCTCATGTAAACATAAGGAAATTTTAAAAAGTTAAATCTTAAGCAACAGTGCTGTTTGTGAGTGGACAGTGAAGGCATTCTAATGACCATCTTTCACATTCCCTTGTCCCCATGGCTGCGAAAGGCTCAAACGCAAAAACACAAAGCATGGCTAGGTATGATAGTGCACACCTTTAATCCCAGCACTCAGGAGACAGAGGCAGGTGGATCTTTGTGAGTTCCAAGACACCCTGGTTTACATAGTGAGTTCCAGGACAGCCAGGGCTATCTAGTGAGACCCTGTCTCAAAAACCAGAAAGAAAGGGCAAAAACACAGCAAACCAACAACAAATAGAAAGCCAGAAATAGACACCACCACAAAACAGAATCCATGTTTAAATACAGGAGACCTTGAAAATGGGCCTGAAGGGCTGGGGAGATGGTCCCCAGCACCCATGTAAACAGCGGGTATGGCTGCACACACCTGCAAACCCCGCAGAATAGGCAAGCAGACCTGTGTGTGTGTGACTGTGTGTGTGTATGTGTGTGTGTGTGTGTGCGCGCATGTGTGAGTGATTATAAGGCTGCAAAAAGTTAGTATTGGTGTTAAAGAGATGGCTCCATGATTGAAAGCCCCATACTGCTTTGGCAGAAGATACTGGATGGCTTCTATCCCCAAGTCAGGCAGGTCACAACTGTCTGTTACCTGGGTTCCAGGGCATCTGACACCCTCTGGACTCTTTCCACACCGCACTCTTGTGTTCATATGCCTAATATCTGTTCATCACACAGATATCCACATATGCCTAATTAAAAAGAAAACAAATCTTGTTAATATTGATTTCCTTTCTTTCCTTTTTATAATATTTATTTATGTATATGAGTGTTCTGTCTTCAGGCGCACCAGAAGAGGGAATCAGATTCCATTACAAATGGTTATGAGCAACCATGTGGTTGCTGGGAATTGAACTCAGGATCTCTAGAGGAGGAGCCAGTGCTCTTAACTGCTGAGCCATCTCTCCAGCCTCCTCTTTTCTTTTTTCTTTTTTAAATTTATTTTTCAAGACAGGGTTTCTCTGTGTAGCCCTGGCTGCCCTGAACTCACTCTGTAGACCATGTTGGCCTCAAACCCAGAAATCCATCTGCCTCTGCCACCTAGGAAAGCAAGATAGGAGGGACTAGGAGACAAGGATGATTCTGGGAGATGTAGTAGAGGAGAGTCAAGATGTAGGGACTTGAGAGGAAGAGATTCAGACCCTCTCTCTGGTTGGATAAGACCACGTGAAGACACTTAGATTAATAGAAATGGGTTAATATTTAAGACAGAGCTAGTCAATAAAAAATGCCAATAACTGGCCAACAGAATTATATCTAATACAGTGTCTCTGTGTGTTATTTGGGGCTGGTGCAGCTGTGGGACTAGGCTGGCAGGAAAAGTGCTCGTAACAAAATGGAGAGTGGGTACTATGATCTTCCACTTAAAACTTAACAAAATCTTAAAGGATTTTAAAAACAAAATAGCAGAGGCAAACAAAAGCAGCATTTTTGGTTGGGCTCTGTCTTGCTAGAAACAAGCAGAAACTCGTGTGGCTCCTTTAAAGGAGGTTTCTTGACTCGGCATAAGGGCAAACCCTGCTAAACCCTGCTAACAACTGAATGGTGTGTGGGAGAATTGGCAATGGCAGTGACCACATCTCCAAGCCGGCAGCATGCTGCTGGATGGCAGCATAGACTAAGGCAGTGAGCACAGCCCTCAGGGCTGGCGGTAAATGTACCCCACCACCATCTTGGAAAAACAGTGGCTAAAACAGCTGTGGCTTTCATTTTAGCAATGTTGTTTAGCAGATAGAAGTCTTGTGGCCAGAAAAAGATAAAGATTTACAGTAAATACAGATTCAGATTAAGGAAAAACCTCTGAAGGTTTACAGTGTGTTTTAAAATATATGTAGGCTTAGGAGTAGAAAAGAAACAGGATAAAGTGGTTAAAAAAAAAAAAAAACAGAAAAAGAGTAGCTGGGTGTGGTGGCACACGCCTTTAATTCCAGCACTTGGGAGGCAGAGGCAGGCAAATCTCTGTGATTTCAAAGTGAACCTGGAGTATAGAGTAAATTCTAGGGCAGCCAAAGTTACACAGAGAAACCCTGTCTCAATAAATAAAAAAATAGAAGTAAAAGAAATAGAATAATAAAAAAGCCACATAAAAATGGGAAATGCATAGAGAATCTGAATACTGTATGCTATTGTGTTGTCTTTAAATTGCTCAATTGCTAAGGAAGGAACAATTGCTACAATACACTTGATTATCAATGCTGCTGAATTAATCCAATTTACATATTTTAAAAATGCTTTGACTCCAAATATAAGTCTAAGGACAGGTTACTGGGGAAAAGGATTTCTATTTTTGTTTCCACAGAAAATGAAAAGCTATGGATTCCTTCCAAACTAACATGGTTTGATCAAGTAAGACCCCCTAAAGTAGTGTCCCAGGTGATCCAACATTCAAAACAGCTGGGACAAGGCAGCCTTGCAGAACACTAGAGCCAGGATTTCTGTGTCTTCTTAGGATCCCCAAGGCAGCAGTTTGGAAAGAATGATGCCCAAATTCCCACATGTTGCTTATAAATGTTTGTTTTCATTTAAATGGAGTTGGTTATAAATGGTTAATGACCACAACCAATCTCTTTGTAAAGGTAAAAAGGGGTTATGGTATAGAAATGAATACTTTGTTTTGGAATAAATTTTCATTTAGTTATACAAATTCAAAGTCAATTTTGTGATAAGTATATTTCCCCTCTTATTTAAGTATTGTATTTATATAGCTCATTTTTAAAATGTAATGTATAATTACTAATTATAGTTACCTATAATAATCAAAACTTATAGTTAGGTTTTTATAGAGATATATTACAAATGGATAGACATTCTTCAAACCTTTCAAAGACCTACAGAATATGGCATTTAAAAATGGTTTAGGGTTTTTCTTCACAGTGAGGCACAACTGCTCCTGGCAACAACACCTGCATCAGAAAGGAAGATGGACATCAAAGAAACTCATTATGGAGTTTGCTTCCAATATGACAAGACTAACCTTTTAGACAAGATACTGTTCTTGTCTGGACTGTTTGACTTTATGCTGTATAAACTGGACCTACAGGACCCACAGAAAAGTGACTGCTGAAATAAGATAGACATTGCTACAGGGTTCCTGCTTCATGGAAGAGTCTGCCAGACATTCTGCAGGACACAGAGAAAAGTGACTGACAAACTGCCAACATAGGTGGACAGTTTAAAGTTTCCTGCTTTGCTGAGGAGTCTGCCAGATACACCGTGGCCTATGGGCAGAAGAGGGATGAGCCAATTTACAGAAGAACTTTGTATAACTGTCCAGGTAGCGAGATGTCTCTTCATTTCTAGAGTTGATATATTATCCTTCTGTGGTCTTTGATGGATTTGAAGTCAGATAGTTATGATTATAGTTTTCTTTAGTTAGGATTAATGATAAATTACATATAAGACTTTAGACTCACAGATATAGGATAGATGATGGAATATTTTCTTTAAATCTTGCTAAATGTTAATGGACTAAATATTGTTAACTATAGTTCTTATTTGATAACTGTTTTGTTATATATTTTACTATGGTAAAGTTAAAACCCTTCTTTTTATTTAGACAGAAAAGAGGAGATGATAGGAGATGTCATTCTGTAAATATGTTTCTCTTACTGGTTAATGAATAAAGCCCCGTTGGTCAATAGGAAAGCAAGATAGGCGGGACTAGGAGACAAGGAGAATTCTGAGAGAGAAATACTTAGATTAATAGAAATGGGTTAATATTTAAGACAGAGCTAGCCAATAAAAACTCTAGTAACAGGCCAACAGCTTTATATCTAATACATCTCTGTGTGTTATTTGGGGCTAATGAGGCTGTGCGCCTGCCGGGAAAACTGCTCATAATAGCCTCCTGTGCTGGGATTTAAGGCGTGTGCCACCACCACCTGGCTAGTATTGATTTTCATTGTAACATAAACACACTAACGTTATTAAAAATGTTAAACAAACGCATCCACAAGCTAAAGTATCTTCCTCGTGCATCAAGCTTGCAGCGTATTACAGGTACGAGGGGAGAAAGGAGGATGCTGTCCCCAGCAAGGTAGGAAATCAGCTTTGTCTGCTCAGAGGGCTCAAGGGACTTAAGCTCAGCTTAGCCAGGTGGTGGTGACGCGTGCTTTTAATCCCAGCACTTGGGAGGCAGAGGCAGGCGGATCTCTGTGAGTTTGATGCCAGCATGTTCTACGGAGTGAGTTCCAGAACAGACACCTAGCACATGGACACATCCACCATGTCTCATCTCCTTCATGCTGGGACGGCTGGACACATCCAAAGATAATAGACCAATTCTGTCTTAATGTCCCTAGCTTTGCGTGTACCCAGTATAACCCACGATCCAGACTCAGAATGGAGAAACCAATAAAAAGGGTCACAACATTGTGACGAGAGTATCAGAGTGTGCCTGGTTCTGGCAGCACCCTGCCAAGCAGTGGGGAATTTCCCACACCTGGTGGTCTCTCAGATCACTTCACTGAAGTGGTATCTGCCAGGTTTCCCTAAAATAATTACTATTTTTGTGGGTAGAAACTCTGTATTGAAACCTGAGACTTGATTCTCTCCTTCCATCTTTATTTGGGTTCTGGGGATTGAACTCAGGCCCACAGGCTTGTGAGGTGAGCTCTTTACCCACTGAGCCACCATCCGTCTGAAGCATGGTTATCATTTATATCTCTTTTTATCATTTCCATCTCTGTGGAATCAAGGATCCCTATTTCATTGGTAGTTATAATCCATTACTAGTACGATTCATTATCATGTCCAAGCTGCCCGAGATTGGCAAGCAAGGTCTTTCCCAAGCTTTATTTTCTTTTTTTTTGACATGTTGCTTTCGTTCTTTGAATGAGTCCTTACCTGGC